GCCCCCAGCTGCATTAGTTGAAGCATTAGCCCTAGGCTTCGCTTGCACTGAACTAAAATGAGCAGTTAGAACAGTAAAACAATGCTCCCCAGTCGTCTGCATTGTGTGAACCCAGTCATAAAGTGCATGTTATGATGTAACACCCACTGGGCCTAATTATTCTCTTTTATGTACGGAGGAGCACAAGCTGTGCAACCTTTGGGAGTATTGACTACTCAGAAAGCCTTCCATCCCTCTCTCCTCCCACTCTCTGCCCTTAATAGGAATTGTCCCATCAAGCTTCCATTCTGCTGGGAGAGAGAATAGACTTTTCGGTAATTGATAGTCTCTGTTCCGGCATGAAATAGAGCAAAAGCCTGCAATTGCTACTCCTCTACTCAGACGTATTTAACTGATTCCCAGTGCCAACGGGATAAAAATCTTTCTAATGGCGTAAGGTCCTCAGTGATACAGCACGGCCTGCCTTCATAGCCTTGTTCTCACCACTATCGCTCTATAAATTTTCCCTCATGCCAGAACTATCTGTTCATTGTTGCCCAGAAGTAAATCATACCTGCTCACCTTTCTAACATCATAGCATTTTCCATAAAGGTCTTCATATCTCTTCCCCCTGTGTGAATTCAATCCCATCACACAGTCTTTTCCTAGTCTTCTTGCAAACTAACTTGGGCTTAGTTGATGCCTCATTTATCTATTTGTAGTCTTTATTTGCTCCTAAATTAATTTTTTTATTGTGAATTTTATTTTTTGAGCACATTATTTTTTTTTCTACCAGTACAATTGTCTTTTACTCTGTCTCTAGATGCTTAAAGGATGGCATACTATCTTCTCTTAGGTGTTTAAATCTAGTGATTGATTAATTTTTTGGAGAGCAGGGCAAGAGGGATGACTAGAGACATGGGTTGACACATTGTCTCAGAAAGAAGGAAAAGTTTTAGATTAAAACAAACATAGTGCAGGTGTAATTCAGTGGGAAAAGTGCTAAAAGGCACTTTCACTGGTGATTCCATGGGAAGAAGTTAAAGTTATGGAGCAGAACAAGAAGGAACAAGATTTTGGCAGAAATCAACCTCTGAGAAGCGTGAAGTCCCAAAGAAAAAGTTGGTAAGGGTTTTGTTTCTCCTTGCTTCATATCTCTAGTAATTAGCATACTCCCAAGATGCTGCAGAATTTTTCTGTTCTTATGAACCTAAATGCTGCCACCAGAAGTCAACTTTGGAGCTTCTGGAAAGCAGAGAATCAGGCTGCCAGTCCCTCTGGAGTTGTTTCCCGTCACCACAGACCCAAACTAAGATGACACGCACTACTTTGCCTTTCTGGCCATTGTGTGCATTTTTCCTTTGCAGGGAGCTTTAACTCATTAGTATTCGTGTCATTGGTCCCTACATAAACATTTCCTAATCCCCCACCCAGACTGTGATAGCCACAGGAGGCAGAAGGTACCAGGGAACAGTGTGATCCCAGAGCTTGAACATTCTGGGTGGGTGCTTTCTAGAAAGAAGGACAAAGAGGATCAGAGTGCCAATGCTCCTCCATTCCAACTCTTCCCCTCTCCCTCTCCACTCTCCTGCAAACTGTTGCCACCATGTGACACAGGTCTCTCAAGAGACAATTGAACCAGGACTTTCAGTGGTCTTTCAATTGAACTTTCAGTGGACTTTCAATTGAACCAGTGACTGCTTTCCTTCTGTTGGTGTGTTCACTACACCAAGCATTCCACCAAGACTGAAGTTCATGCCTATCCTCTTAAAGACCTGCAATGGACCAAGGGGTACTCAGACTCTAAAATCCCTACCTAGCCCTCCACAGTGCTATTAGCCTGACTGCCCCAGCAGAGCAGGACACACCCCAAAGTGGAGGGACATAAGCCTACTTAGCCGTCAATGGGAAATTTGTTACCACCATACTTATTCCTGACACAATTAGGAGCTGAACTAGGGCAACCAAAGGGAGATCTGTACCCCCAGGACTCAATATGTTGCTAGGGTAGGAGGTACTGAGTGGAGATTAGTGATTAATTTTCTTTTACCAGAGAGCTTACTCATTCTGGGAAAGTCTTTTAACATTACAGTGAATTAGAATTTTTTTCTCTTTACTTTTCCCAGAGAGAACTATCCACAATCCTATCATTATTATAAAGCATTCCCTATATTAGCTCTGTTTCAGTCCATCAGAGGTTAAATAGAACACCAATGAGCAACTGTTAATGCAGGTGGTATCCATAACATTAAGAAAAACAGTCCCAGACATGAAGAAGTAAGTTCGATGTGTTTGGTAATGACAGAAGACATCATAACCTTAAAGGAAATCTCTGGGTCCTTTTGTACAAAGAAGATTAGGGAAGACTCTAGGCTCCTTAGAATGAAAGTAAAATATTGAACTTTTAAACAGTCATGCCAGTTTAATACCAGAAATATTTAAAGAGGCCTTTAGCTATTTTGCTGTTCTCATATTATAGGTAAATAGTCATAGTTTATCTTCTGCACTGCTGCTTTTGGGTCTTCTAAGCCAATCTCAATAGGTAAATATCAATTGTTCAGCCATAAAAGTCCATAAAAACCAGAGTTCCAGAAAAAGTATTATGTTTTGCATACAGTAATGTGTTTGCAAGTGTTTTATAAGCCCCGTGCAACAAAAATGGCAGTGCGAATACCAACAGTATGATGTTTCAGTTACTCTCTGAGACACCTAATAATATTAGCAATATGTTTCCATTAAGCTCACACCATATTTATTAAAGAACTTTATGCTGTTTTCTTTTTCAATTTGAGGCTAATACCTTGCTAAAAAGAGCTCCAAGTAAGTGTGTGTCATCCATCCTTGTATACCAGGTGGCATTTATGTCAGTGCACCATGGGACATTACTTTCAGAATGACTTGAAAGCCAAACAAAGAATTTATAGGGCTACATGAGTTCCCATTATCAAATTTTAGCAGCCCAGACAATACTATACACATAAACTAAAGCAACTGCCTATCATAAATGTGATCCCAAATCCATTTACCTGGTTAGTTGCCCCTCTGCTGCTATTTTCTATGTAGGCACTGGGAGGTAAAGACACAATTTTAAGTCAATTCAATTTTAATGACAGGGGTTTATTCCTCACCCACGTAGAAATGCCTTTTACCCTCTTGCTAAAGGAAAAAAATGTTAGTCTGCTTTCCCTTTATGAACAATAACCACAAGGTATTCAATAATTTAAGAATTAACACATTGGTAGTATTTATCTTAAATCAGTTTTTTGGGAGAGTTTCGTATTTGGTTATTCTATGTATGTATCATTTATTTCATGTAAGAATGATAGAGCCAACCAGAGAGGTGCTCTTTCAAGATCCCCTTGGATCTCCCCTATCTTCAGTAAGCCCCTTTCTAAGCTTCAGGCTACTTTGTTAATGGTCTACACCTGCAGCTATTTACCTAGGGGCAGCCCTCAGGCTACTGGAGTCCCTTTGCCCTGCAAGCAAAGAGAGTTCACATTCCTTTAGTGCAAGCTTTAGTCAATAACTGACAGACTAGGGCATGAGGGGTTAGATATTTGGCCTCGGTCCAGTACCAGTTTTTCCAGGGAAATCGTCTGAAATCTCTTTCCATGGAACTTGCTTCAAATCACAATCTTATTTGACTTTTTCCCTTTCTTTTTCCTGCTTCTGTTTTTACCAGTTTATCTTGTGAGTTTTTCCTCATAATCCACTAGAATACAAACGCTCAACTCTGAGTTCTTCTCAGGGGAACTTGAACCAACACAGCTTTTCCTACACCTAGATAAATGCTTACTATAATACAATTCCTGGTCTACCATCAAAGAATGACACAAAAATAATTTATTTCACTAGAATCTCATTACTTTCCATGCAAACTTCTGTTATGAGTTCCTTTTGGAGAGAACAACAGCTTCAAAGTTAGAGCAAGATTCAAAGTCATCTGAGTTGCGCACTAGGTGGGCAATACTGGAAAAGCTAATTCATCTTTTAGAGTCCTTTTTCTTCAACTCCATGTGAATAAATCCTATAGAAATGTGTTGAACATTAAATGAATATGCCCAGCCTACTGCTTTGTTCACAGAATTCCTCATTGTGAATAATTTTGTCCTACCCACCACTTGTTTGAAATGTTTCATCTACTAAAATTCTAGTAAATGATTTTCCTATGAGTGAATAATAAAGTGAGTAAATATGAAATAATAACTTTGTATACTTTGAAAGTCAATTTAAGTACCTCTGTTAATTTTGTAGGGATTTAGTAACAAATGACAATAAACTTGATAGTTTACAACACCGGAAACATATTTTGTCACAAGACTGGAGTGTAGAAGTCTAAAATAAGGAATTGGCACAGTTGGTTCCTTCTGGAGATTCCAAGTGAAAATCTGCCTGTCTCCTACCTGCTGGTTGCTGCCAGCAATTGTTGGGATTCACTGTCATGTGCACACATCATTGTAATGTCTAACCCTATCTTCCTATGTCTTTCACTCTGTGTTCCTCACTGTATGAAATCTCTTTGTTTTCTTTCTTATAATGACAGCAATCATTGAATTTGGGGTCTACCTTACATCCAGAATAATAACATTTAGAAATCCTTAACTACACTTATTCTGTGAAAACCGTATTTCTAAATAAAATCACATTCATAAGAACCAGGAATTAGGACATGAACATATATTTTGGGGCAGACAACATTCAACACACTGCAGTTGAGTTTTTACTTACAGACACAACCATTCTGATTGCTACAGATGCCAATTTGATTAAAACAAATAACTCCCTAGTTCTGAAGCAAAATTCTAGAATGCTGGTTTCATAAGATGGTTTGTTTTGAAATGTAAACTTTTAAAAAAATTTAGAGGTCATTTCCTTTAATGTTTCCTTTTCAATAAAAATCCTTTATAAAATTTTGCTGAGCAATGACTGTGATGCTATTTTTAATTACACCAAAGTTATATTTTCTTCATAATTCACACCACTTCTAGAGAATTGTGTTCATTAAAAATTTTCTATGACCAGTGCTTTCTTTGACTGCACATATCTTAAAATTGGAATGATACAGAAAAGATTAGCATGGCCCTTACACAAAGATGACATACCATTTTGTGAAGCATCCCATATTTTTATGCAAAAATACTCAATAAAATCTCAGCAAATAGATTACAACTACAAATTTAAAAAATTATACATCATAATCAAGTGGGCTTTATCCTAGGGATGAAAAGTTGGTTTAACATATGCAAATCCATAAATGTAATTCACCATATCAATAAAAGCAAAAACAAAGACCATATGATCCTCATAATAGATGCAGAAAAAGCATTTGACAAAATTAAACAACCTTTTCTAACAAGAACACTTAATAATATAGGCATAGCTGGCACACTTCTTAAACTGATTGAAGCCATCTATGACAAACCGACAGCTAAAATCATACTGAATGTAGAAAATTGAAAGATTTTCCACTTAGAACTGAAACCAGACAAGGATGTCTAGTATTGCTTCTGTAACTCAATATATTGCTGGAAGATTTAGCCAATGTGATAAGGCAAGAAAAGGATATTAAGGGCATCCAAATGGGGGCAGAGGAGGTCAAACTCTCACTCTTTGCTGATGATATGATCTTATACTTAGAAAACACCAGAGACTCAATTATGAGTCATTCCTAGAGTGATCACGAAATACAGTAATGGCTCAGGGTATAAAATCAATGTCCACAAATCAGTAGCTTTTGTACAGGCCAATAATAACCAAGTTGAGAAGCAAATCAAGAACACAATTCCCTTTGCAGTGGCTTCAAAGTAAAGGAATACCTAGGAATACGCCTTACAAAAGAGGTGTAGGATATCCACAAAGATAATGATAGAACCCTAAGAAAAGAAATAGCAGAAAAAAATTTAAAAAAGAAAGAAAGAAATAGCAGAAGACATTAATAAATGAAGGAACATGCCATGCTCTTGGTTGGGAATAATCAACATTATTAAAATGTCTGTACTACCCAAAACAATCTACAGATTTAATGCTACTCAAAACAATCTACAGTTGATGCAATACCAATTAAAATACCAACATCATACTTCAAAGAACTGGAAAAAATAATTCTTCCCCTGGTATATAACTAGGAAAAACCCCATATATCCAAGGCTATTCTTAGTTATAAAAAAAAAAAAAAAAGCAGGAGGCATTGCTCTACCAGACCTCAGGTTATATTACAAACCCACAGTGATCAAAACAGCAGGGAATGGCATAAAAATAGAGACACAAACATATGGAACATAATAGAAAACAAGGAGATAAAACACATCTTTTATAGCCATCTGATCTTTGATAAACCAAAAAAAAGTATTTACTGGGGAAAATAATCCATATTCAATAAATGGTCCGGAGAGAACTTGATATAACCACACGTGAAAGACTAAAACCAGACCTGCACCTCTCACCTTACAAACATTTACTGAACATGGATAAAAGATTTAAATCTAAGACATAAAATCATAAAAAACCTAGGAGAAAACATGGGAAAACTCTTAAGGATAAAACCTAGGGAAGGATTATATAAAGACTCAGTGGCAATTGAAACAACAAAAATAAACAGATGGGACTTATTTAAGCTGAAAAGCTTCTGCACAGATAAGGACACAAAAATTAAAGCAAATAGATAACCTTCAGAATGGAAGAAGATAATTTGCATGATATAAATCTGACAAAGGGTTGATAACTAGAATCTACAGAGAGCTCAAATTAATCAATAAAAAAACAGCAAACAATCCCATAAAACTGGGCAAGAGACATGAATAGAACCTTTTCTGAAGAAGACAGATAATTTATTCACACAAGCGTGTGAATAAATGCTCATCATCCATAATCATCAAAGAAATGCAAACCAAAATCAACCTGAGATATCACCTAACCCCAGTGAGAATAGCTCACTTCACAAAGTCCCAAAATTGCATATGTTGTGGCTGATGTGGAGAGTAGGGAACACTTTTACACTGTTGGTAGGAGCAAACTGATATAGCCTCTTTGAACAAAAATATGAAGAATCCTCAAAGAACTCAAATTAGACCTCCAATTTGACACCACAATTCCCTACTAGACATCTACCCACAAGAAAAAAAGCATCATTTTATCATAAGGACATTTGTACTAGATTGTTTACTACTGCTCAATTTATAATCGCCAAGATATGGAAACAACCTAAATGTCCATCAACTCAGGAATGGATTGACAAGATGGGATATATGTACACCAAGGAATACTATGCAACCATAAAAGGGTGGAGACTGTACATGTTTTATATTAACCTGGATGGAGTTAAAACACATTCTTCTTAGTAAAGTATCATAAGAATGTAAAAACAAGTATCAAATATACTCAATACCAATATGAAGCCAGTAGACAATCTAATACATGCCAACATAAAAGAAAAACTCAATTAAATTCAAGATGAGGGAGGGGGAAGGATAGCAGGAGGGGTGTAAGGAGGAGAATGGGTGTGTTCCCACTTAACGGGCACAACATAAAAGTATATGGCACACCTTCTGGTTGCGGGACACAACTAAAACAGAGACTCTACATAACAAATGCAAACATTGTAACCTGGTTCTTTGTACCCTCACATTAATATGAATTTAAACACATTTTTTTTTCTTCTGTGACCAAAACCATATCTTGCTCTTAAAGATCCCAAATATTAAGGCTTACATGTATGGAGGAGGATTTTCTTTGTTGGGGCCATAAAAATATATTAACAGTAATTCTTTAAAGGCATGAGCTAGAACAACAGAAGGAAAAGAAAAAGATCTGTTTTGAGTTCATAGCAAAATTTCTACATAGTTTTACTCTAGGTGGATTTACCATTAAGACTCAGTAAATATAATACTGTTCAACCTCTATAGTTGACATTACACTGACCACCTCCTTAAGTTGACCTAATTTTCATGGACAAGATTGTTATCCCTTATATATATCAGTACACCAGGCCTACTACCTAATCTTGACCACCTCCATATGTTGCCCTGACCAGTTGACCGTTAAGTGGTCAACTTACAGAGGTTCTACTGTTTTTTCTGCTACAGTACATGGAGCTGGGCTGAAATGAAGTTTGAGGACTTTGAATACTAAATACAACTTAAATGCTTATTTTCTCTGGCACACAATAAAATTAGGGAGAGATATGGGACATCAAGACAGATAGGATAAATGCCATGGATTTTGAGTTATGTTTCTGATATTAAGATGTTTCACACATTTATTTAATAAACATCCAGTGGGATCAGTTCTTGTTTCCTGCCATTTTTCCTTTCAAAACTATTATAAATAATTTTGACACTCTTAAAAGAGATAAAATAACTTATTAAAGTAGCAATATTATAGGATTGGGATTTCCGGAGTACACTTAAAAATAGTATTGGGTGAGCCAGATGCATAGTTTAGAAGTTTTAGTGGGAACTGTATAAACTGAGTCTTAGGATAGAGTATCAAGTTGCTCTATGATGCTGGAGATACAGATATGAAGAAAACTCTATCCAAACAATTTTCGACCTACACACACAGTCAAATGTCGTCCCCCCAATTTAAACCATCTCAAAATGGATAACAAGTACAAAGTGTAAAGAAAAATAAAATAAATATGTTAAGAAAATTTGATGTAGTGGGAAAGTCTTTACAGAGGCCCTGTATTCAATTCTTGCCTTCAGCTTTTTCAAGTCAATGATTCAATTACTAGGTTTAATTATTTTTTTGCAAGTCAAGATTGAATTTGAACAATGGACTCTCTACTGTACAGCTTTTGCTATTAAATGGAGAAAAGTCCAAACACTGACAGCATCAAATGTTGGGGAGGAAGGTGAGCAACAGGAACTCAGAAACTGAGAAGCTGGGACTGCAGGCATATACCACCACACCTAGCTAATTTTTCTATTTTTTTTATAGAGGCATGGTCTCTCCATATTGCCTAAGCTGGTCTCAAACTTCTGGCCTCAAGCAATCCTTCTATATTGGCCTCCCAAAATGCTGCAATTCCTGAGCCATCATGCCCGGCTAGCCACTTGAAATCTTTGCTGTCATGCCTGCAAAATGGTATAAACACTTTAAAAGATGCTTGGCAGTTTCTTACCACACTAAATATACTCTTGTTATATACCACACCATTCATACTACTTGGTATTTATTCAAACGAGTTAAAAACATATGTCCACACAAAAACCTGGATAAGAGCATTTGTAAAAGGTTTATTCATAATTGCCAGAGCTTGAAAGCAACCAAGATGCCCTTTACTGGGTGAATAGATACAGAAATTATTAGCACATTCAGGCATTGAAGTTTTATTTAACACTAAGAAGAAATGAGCTATGAAGCAATAAAAAGGCTTGAAGCTAATTTATAATCCTTCTAACTAAGTGAAAAAATCCAATCTACATATGTTAGACTGTATGATTCCAACTATATGGCGTTCTGCAAAAGGCAAAATTATGAAGTAAAGAAGATCAATAATTTCCAGGAGTTAGGGAAGAGTGAGAACAGAGTATTTTTAGGACAGTGAAACTATTCTGAATGATGCCACAATGGTAGATACATGTCATTATATCTTTGTTAGAACACATACAATGAGTATGATATAAAGAGAGAACTCGAATGCAAACTATGTGTATGCACACCTGCTATGCAAATGTGTAAATTATGGACTTAGGGGGTTAAGGATGTGTCAGTGAAAGTTTCTGGACTGTAATGAACATGTGCAGGATGTTTACTGTGTATAAAGTGTGCACATATAGTTAGGGGATACAGTGGAACTCTATATATTTTGCTTAATTTTCTTGCGAATGTAAAACTGTGGTAAAAAAAAAATCAAGTCTATTAAAAAGAAAACAACACAGCACTCTATAGTGAAGAGGTATCTGCACTCCCATGTTAGTTGGGCACCATTTGCAATAGTGAAGGTATAGAATAAACCTACGCATTCATCAATGGATGAACAGGTAAAGAAAATGTAGAAGGAAACACATTATGCTAAGTGAAAATGCTTATTTTCACATTATGCAAAATGAAATAAATCTATAAGGAAATGTTAAAACAATTCTGCAGATATTTCTCTCAGAGTATTTTTTTCAATTTTTATTGTAA